CAAGCTTTCAGCAGACAGACGCAACAAAGTCCCACTGCTGCAAAAAGTATGTGCTGAGGAGGTTACAATGTTCCAAAGAACATTTCCTAAATGGAAGTGGTGCAACACTTTAGGGACTGATGAAAGCAAAATTGATCTTTCTGTGTCAAGTAAATTGGGCCCCAAACACCTGATTCAAGCCACAATACGCCTCAGAATACTTCAGAAAATCATGTCCTCATACAAAAAGGAAATGCCTGTGAAATAGGTGTTTTACAAAAAAAAATAAAAAAAGACCACAAACCCTCCAAAAAGCGAGCGACATCTTGGTTTTAGCTTCAACAACAAGATTAGCGTTGCGGTGCGACCAGCCCAATGCCTGGACCTTAATCCCAAAGAGAAGCAAGTGTTGACACAAAAAAGCCTGTTTCAACACAAACGTCCTGGGCTGAAACACCTGTTCATAGCTGCCACAAGTTGGACGACTTCTGCAACATTTTTCAGTTTATGCAACTAAATTTAAGAAAATAAAGATGCTCCTGTTTTCCTGTGCTAAAAAAAAATAATAAAAAAAATTGATAAACATTTTGTTGCATCTCTCCGCTGTTCAGTGGCATGTTAAGAGGGAAAAAGAAGCAATTTGGAGATTTTCAAGATTTAATCACTGCTTATCACTACCGCATATTAAAAATGTCACCATACTGTTCATTTAATATAATCTAATAATCCCAAACATGGTTTCCTAGTTGTGAATGTTTAAAAATCATTACAATAAATTCTAGAAACACTCGAGATAAAGCAATTCCTTTTAAACACATGTAGAGGCAAACAGTTTATTGCTTTAACTGTTCCAGTATCTAGTTTTAGCTTTTTAATCCAGATCCAAGGTATCAAGCATATGTCTGATTTAGAATCCAGGGATTTATTAGAGACTGGAGGCACGTGCGGAGGCAGCTCCCCTTCTTTGAGACGACCACTTTGCATTATCAGATCAGACACAAAGAAGAAGAGGAAGAGGAGGAGCGGCCAGCAGTGGAGGCGCAAAGGTCAGCGTCTTGCTCGGAGAGGATAGGCAGATTACAGACGCAGGTGTGGGACAGACAGGAGATCAGACATTTGGCCATCATTTTAACTATATTAGTAAATTAATGATAATGCATCATTGTGAAGCTGCTCTTTACGAGGGTAACATGACAAAGCAGGTGAGCGGTTCGCCTTTCCTGAAGCCCTTCTTCCTGAAGACGCCCGTCAGAGTGGTCACCCCTCGGCAGCAGAGACGACACACGCTCCCCGCCAGCGAGTTCAGAAACCTCACCCCACAGGATGCAATCAGCGTGTTCGAAATAGAAAGAGAAGGTAAGTCTATGCTTTTGATATTCATGAATGGAATTCTTGCAACTATCGCCAAAAAAAAGGTAAATTTTTAAGATTATGTATTTGTAAAACATGGAGTTTTCTAATTTCAACACTATGGAGAAAAAAAAAACTATATGTGTGTCAGCTGATTAAACATGAGAGAACATCATATTTTCTTTCCTTTCAACTTAATTGCCTCCTTGATGATGATAATCAGTGTCTGAAATGCTTCGCAGCATTCGTGTCCGTCTCTGGCGAGTGCCCACTCACGCTGAATGAGGTGCTTAATTTTCTGGGTCAGTGCCCCGAGCTGTCTCTGGGTTGGTTTGAGGAGGGGCAGTTGGTAGCCTTCATCATTGGCTCCGGCTGGCACAAGGAAAGGCTTTCACAGGTATTAGAAAAAAAAAACAACAAAAAAACATTTCTATAAGAAAGATATTTATTTTTTGCAACTCATCGCTGATGGAAATCTAATCTTTCTAATCCAGGAGGCCATGACCCAACACGTTCCAGACACGCCTACTGTGCACATCCACGTGCTGTCGGTGCACCGCCACTGTCGACAGCAAGGCAAGGGATCCATCCTGCTGTGGCGCTACCTGCAGTACCTGCGGTGCATGCCGGGCCTCCGCAGAGCGCTGCTCATCTGCGAGGACTTCCTGGTGCCCTTCTACCTAAAGGCCGGCTTCAAGGAGAAAGGGCCCTCGGAAATCTCCATATCCAACATGCAGTTCCAGGAGATGGAGTACATGCTGAACGGGCAGGTGTACGCGCGACGGAACAGCGGCTGCTAGTCGGCTGCGTTCGCTGGACTCAATGTAACAAACCCTGTTGCACTGGTGGACTGGACTCCACACCTAACCCAACGAGAAAGGGGAGAGAGGTTTGCGTGGACAGAGTGGAGTGACAGCGGATTCAGACAGCAAATTGTTGCTTTTTACCGACAGACATAACATCATATTCTTCATCATCAGCTTTTATCTCAATTAATCACACTGTAGTTCGTGGCGAGTGAGGAGGCCTAAAAAAAAAAAAAAATAAAACTGATTAAATTACAACACAATCTTTAGAAACGTCGTGTTTCATTGTTTGATTTTAATAAACTACACAACATCCAGCAGGCGTTAAGAAAAAGTAGCACACATTTTTTATTAATTAAGAGTCGTTTTTTGTCTTTTTGTTCTTTTTACCGTTTCAATTACATGAGGATAGATGGGCGGCTAAAACGCCGCCGTGTTCAAAACAATAATCACTTCTCGAGAAGCAATAAACAAAAGGAAACATTCGAGTGCTCAGCATAATGTAACAAAAATATGGCAGTAGTTGGTACATTTATCAACAAGGCACCAAAGGTATATATGTATATATATTTTGTCCCTGCTTCTGAGGTTGCCTGAATAATTGTTGCAAATGTTGAATATGATCCTTCAGCCTGTACCAGCGCCTTGGCTTCTCCAACTACTTGATCTCAAGTAAAGTGAAACCAGGCGCTTTGATGGGTTTTTGAAGTGCCTTAGCTTTGTTTCACTGGACAATAAAAGCACTGACAATGATTGTGAATGGGAACGTAAAGGAAATCCATATGATGAGGAGTATAGGTATTCATAATGACACAGTAAAAGAACACAACGATAATCTTTTAGTTCACAGAGAAAGAGGAAATGTTCCCCTCCCTCTCGGATCAGTCCACAACGATTGACCTGATGCCTTCATGCTTCGTTGCTCGCGCTTCAATGGAGGTGGGCGTTGAGGTCGTACTTCTCGCAGAATTTGTCCGTCAAGGGGATGCAGGTGATCAGTTCGCACCAGTCGCACTTGATGGGGTAGACGTAGAAGAGCACCACGAGGCCTGAAAACAGACCGACAAACACCAGCAGGAAGACGATGATCTGGCAGCGTTTGCGGTACAGGTCCATGCGGCCGAAGCTGACGTAGGGCAGGAAGGCGAAGGACAGGAAGAAGCCGGAGATGAAGCCGCAGATGTGGGCGAAGTTGTCGATCCAGGGCAGCAGCCCGAAGGCAAAGAGGAAGAGCACCACGCACAGCAGCTTGATGAAGGCCCTCCACGGCTGGGCCAGGATCTGCCAGCACTGGAAGAGCTCCACAAACAGGCAGGCCAGGATCCCAAACTGAGAGCCAGCGGGACCCACCTGAGACGAGGCGAGAGAAGAATTAGGAAACAAAACAAGGTGAACGCGTCTTGCAACCTAGAAGCTCTGCTTACCTCTGCTCTGTAGGGTAAGAAGATAGCCGAGGCCAGGTTCCCGGTGATCCCACTGAGGATGTAAATGATCGAGATGCGCAGCCAGCCAGCCAGTTTCTCCAGGTCCCTCAGGATGGTCATCTGGAAAGCCACCGACACCATGCAGTGGAGGATTCTGGGAGGACAGACGCGGACAAAAGTAAAGCGCATGAGGGATGGAGATTCCACAAAGCCGCACGTGTTGAGAAGATAATCCTCCGGCGCTGGAAGAAGCACTGCTGCAGAAATCACTCTCCATCTCAGGGAAGCTTAATGAGTTCACGCAGTGAGGCCACTTTGTTAATTATCCAGGAGAGAAATAACAGACGACGCAAAGATGAAGCGCTTCTTAACTGTGGGAGGTCTTTGCTCTGCCTGACTGGCAGCTTTAGACTGCAGCTAGCATGATAACGCCAAAACAGAATACCACTGTGAGCGAGCAGTTGGATCAAAACACACATATTTTTGGCATATGGCAAACAGATGGAGTGTAAGATATAAACAGATGAATCTCAACAACAGCTGTTTTAGTTCACAACAAGTTCCCTTCCCTTATGTTGTTCCCTGAAAGATTATTGATTTAGGGTATCAGTTCTTCTAGCGCAAGTATTCATATGGTTCGAACTTCTCCAAATGTCACATTCCAACCACAAACTTTAGTGACTTTTATTGGAAATTTTACCGTCGACTGGTTTTCTTTCCATTTCACAGCCGAGCACTACGTGGTACTGGCCTGTCACCGAGTCGACAGCCGTTCTGCGAAGGCTGTCGTTCGTTAGACAATAGCGGTGAATAAACGTCATCATGAAGACTGAGGAAAACAGCTCAGGGGATCCGGTAACATGCCAGTCATCAGCCGTACATTAAAAAAAAAAAAAAAAGGGGCAGAGGGGCAAAAA